GGTGGTGAAGGGTGAAGGTTTGCCGGAATATGCAGGGGTGGTTGTTGGGGATGGAGATGGTGGCGGTGGTTTGGGGGTGGGGATGGTGATGGTTGTGGATTTTGGTGTGGTGGTTTGTTGGATTGATTGGGTGTCAAGGGTATTTTGGTCATTTAAGTATTTTGATATTTTATAATTAAATTTAATAAAATAGTGAAGGGTAAAATAGACTTTTCACATCTTTTAAGGCTTTGTTTGGATGGCAAATTTTACAAGGGGGTGTGGTTGTCCCAAAATGAGCAAACTTTCCTCTAGATGTCCTTTAGGCAAACCTCAGGGGGTGTCTCTGTACTTTACCCTTGTTTTTAATATCATCATGAATTATCATCCAAGTTCTTCTAAGAAGCTTTCGGACTTCTTCTGATTAGTTTTGGGGAATCAAATCAAAATTTTGAATTTGAAATTAAAGATAATTTAATACAAATTTTAAATTAAAATTTTAAAATTGAAAACAATTTAATACAAATTTTAAATTAAATTTCGTTAGACCGAAATCTAAGATACCCATTTGATGTTCAAAAATGAGAATCTAATAACTAAGGTTGCCAGTTGGATTGCAAAATCAACCAATCAGTGATCTTAAAACTCATTAATGGACACGAGTTGTGGCATTGGACTGAATATATTATACTTGAGGGGTGCTAATCATACTGGTCCCGCGATTGTGGAATGTCAGTCGCTAGTTTAGTGGTTAACACGCTAATTTAGTGGTTGACGCGTATATTTCCTTTTTCCATAATTAATTACTATTTTTTTTGCTAATTTCCTTTTGGGTCTCTCATTATATATAATTACTATACTAGCCTGCATAATTTCTTTCTTCAGATACTTCCACGATTCTTTCTCACTTTAAAATTTTATTTGTTACAAAATTCCATATCTAAATGTTTGAAGTTCCAACACTAAATTTTGTTTTTTTTTACAAAAGTCCATATCTAAATGTTTAAAGTTCAAATCTGAATTTTTTCAGATCCGTATTATTTGTATTTGAACCTAAAATTATAATCTGGTTCTGTCTCTAAAATTATATGATTTTTTAAAATCCATATTCTCTCTTTCGAAGTATTCTGTTGTTTTTCAAATAAAAAAAATAAAATCAGATGAAAAAAAAGTATAATCTAAACAAATTTTATAGTACTTTTATTTTATTTTATTTTATGATAAATTTTTTTTTTTTTTTTTTTTTTTTACTTTTTTAATCTGAAAAATAAGAGCAATACTTCGAATACAAAGAATACAGATCTGAAAAAATTCAGATTTGAACTTCAAACATTTAGATATAAACTTTTGTAAAAAAGAAAATTTTAGTGTTGGAACTTCAAATATTTAGATATGGAATTTTGTAGAAGTTTGTGAAGAGGGAATTTATGATAATTATATATAATGAGAGACCCAAAAGGAAGTTAGCAAAAAATTGGGAATTAATTATGGGAAAAGGAAATATACGCGTCAACAGCTAAACTAGCGACTGAGATTCCATAGTCGCGCAGGCAACTGTGATTAACACCCCTCATTATATTTTTGAAATTTAAACCAAGCACTGGTCTTAATACTCATTAATGGACATAACTTATGGTGTTGGATGAATATATATATATATATATATATATATATATATATATATATATATATGTTTGCAAGTATATATACAGAGGTTTTCAGGGATATAGTGATGATAGCAGGGATTTGGAAGGTATTTGAGGTCTCTCTTTCGAATCGCACTCCTATCTTAAATGATGTGTGTGTTGGCTTCTTCCATTGAAAGGTAGGGAAGACATTTGGGAAATGGATTAACTAGACCGCCAAGCCAGGGGAACAGATCTGCCATCTGCGATGAGATCTGCCGTTTCCTCTTCTACTAAGGTGCACGTAACACTTCCCAAACTACTTGCAAATAGGGAGAAAGAGGACAGGCCCTTCAAGTTATGAGTTTACTGACGGCGAGGCAAGTGGCCAACAAAGCAAACAAGTATTCCCTAGACTCCGTGCTCTAAAAAAAAGAAATATATATATATATATATATATATATATATATATATATATATATATATAGACACACACACACACGTGCTCATCTATGTCCCACATCGACTTTTCCTCTTGTAAAGAGGGCAAGCGAGAATTTGTTTTCTTATAAATTCTTCAGTTACATTTGACATTGAGAAATTTTCTGTTCATATCATCGTGACTACTAAATCGGAATATGTGCCTCTAAAGACATAGAGGCGTTGTCAGGGATTCAGAAGGTAAGTTCTTAAAGTTTCGCTTTCGAATCACACTCCCGACTTAAAATAGTATGTATATTATGGGACCGAAACATGTCCTCTAAGAAATAATAATAATAAAAAAAAAAACATCGGGGGATATATTTTTGTAAGTTAGTATATCTTATTGATGTACAAATTCAAATGCAATAAAATTATTTCGAGTTTGGATTAATTGTGTTGCAGTTTCCATTCATCATGTTGCAATTTTCATTAATCAAAGAAGTAACACAATTAAATCTTGAAAATAACATGATTAATCGAGATCTGAAATAATTGACACATAGGAGTCATAAATTTTTTTTATTGGAGTAACTAATAAACCGCTGCATGCAAAGTTAGAGACAAAATATTGGAAAACTTAATGAGGAGTGTTATTACGAGAGCGCATAGGAGTCATAAATTTATTTTATTGGAGTAACTAATAAACCGCTGCATGCAAAGTTGGAGTCAAAAGATTGGAAAACTTAATGAGGAGTGTTATTGCGAAAGCGCTCTCGCAATAAGTCTGAAGAACTCGCGCTTATAAGTCACATAATTCCTATTTTTAGGGATTTGGGAGGGATAATTAATTAAGAAAGAATCGTTTGCAAGTAAGAAAACAAAAATGTTTTTTCTCTCGTTTCTCCATATATGTTCTCTCTCTTGGCTAACTAGCCCTCAACCAATCTGTCTCTTTCTTTCTCTTGGTTAACCCTCAAAGAATCTGTCTCTTTCTCAAATAATAGTTAAACCTTTGTCTTTCGATCAAAGAGTCTATCCACCTGCACTAAACAAATTGAGTCGTTTCCATATCTCTTGATGAAGAAGAAATTACGATGGCTATGAGGAGGGCTGGAAAGGTGGAACGGTGTTTCAATTGTCTTCTTGGGAAATTACTTGTCTAAGAAAGCTATCAACACTAATGGCCTGCATAATATCATAAGTAAAATTTGGGGCTGCTCTTCAAGGAAGGGTGGCAAGGATTGAAGAGAAGATTTTTCAATTTAAGTTTGAACATGATTGATTCAAGCTCATGGAGTTTTAATAGTCAATTGTTATTAGTTCCTTATGATAAGATAGGCAGATTAAAGATTAAATCTTCAACTAGGAAAAATAAAAAATTCAATCTTCAATACACCAAGTTTTTTGGTGCAATTAGAGAAATATCATGGGGATTAAAGTTGACAATTGATTTTTAAGTTGTGATTGTATTGAAATTCGATACAGAGAATTAGAAGGAGGGCATTTCCTGTGAATAAGGAGAACGTACGGCGACTGATACCGATTACAAAAAACAAATCCAAGTTATTAACATTAGTAATCCATTTATCCGGACAGTTTGTTTATCTTTGAATGGTGCAGTATATACGGTATATTCATTGTAGAGTTGGAGTGTGGGTATAAAGTTGGTTACATTATTTTTCTCACAAATGGTGGTATTAATTGGGACTAGATCCTAATGGATCACAAGTTGCTAACCAAACAGAACATAATTGTCACTCAGAAATTGCAAAGATATAGATTGGTACGAGGGTGGGAGAAAGAGAGATCGTGGATAGAAGAGAGAGAGAAAACTTTGTTTTGTTTCCTTATTTGCAAATGATTCTTTTTTAATTAATTATTTCTTTTAAATCTCTAAAAATAGGAATCGTGTGGCTCATAAGTAGGGATGGCAATTTGACCCGTCCCCGTGGTTACCCGACCCGCCTCGTTTTTGGCGATTTTGGGGAACTGTTTTGTTTATATGAGCGGGGATGATTTCAAGTAATAAAAACCCGCGCGGGTTTGGTGCGGGGGCGGGGGGAGGTCGTTCCGCCCCGTCCTGTTTAGATAGATAAATTAGTTAAGTACTTTTATTTCAATAGTATATATATTTACCACTATATATTAAGTACCATATATAATAATATTAAAGTAACAAATGAATTTGATTAAAATGAAAGTTGTAATGGTGAAGAATTGAAGATGAGGGGGAAAAAAAAAAAAGAAGGGCAAATCTATTTCAACAATAAATAAATGTTTAACTGTTACGGGATGGGGTGAAAAGTTCCCCCGTTTTTGCGATTTTGGGTGGGGACAGGGGTGGAGTTTTTAAACGGTTGCAAGGGCGGGGGAGGGTACACCCGCCTAAACCCGCCCCCGTTGCCATCCCTACTCATAAGCGTAAGCTCTTTAAACTTTTTGTGAGAACTCTCTCACAATAACACTACTCAAACTTAATTTATTTTATTAGAGTAACTAATAAATCGCTACATGCAAAGTTGGAGTCAAAGATTGAAAACTTTTAGGGGCAATTTTAAATTACTTAGTTATAATAAAATGCTATTTTTGCATGCCAAATCTATATTTTGAGAGGTGCTACAATGTTAAAATGCTATATTTTAGCAATTCTACTCCAATGGTGTATTACTACTTTTTGACATAACCACTATTTTTTTTTAACTACCATTCCCAACTTTCATTTTCAACTACCATTCTTTTTCCATTGCAAATATAGATAGAAAGAGATAGACGAAACAAACTCCATTCTCCAACAAACAAACAAATTGATGAGAGAGAGATGAGAGAGAAATAAAGAAGATTAACAATTCAATTGAAGAGATGATAACTATATTGTAAAAACAAGATTTCATCATATTCATCCGATCCCCGGTTGATTTTTTATCATCATCGCCACCGCCTTCTTCATTAGAGCTCATGCCATGACCCAGAACCATGGCGACGGCAAAAGTGGTGGCAGCAGCGAAGGGAGCCATGATCGGACCACCCAGAAACCCCGACGGAGAGCCCAAGTACCGAGGCGTGCGAAAGCGGTTGTGGGGCCGATTCGCCTATGAGATCAGAGACCCCTGGAAGAAGACTCGAGTCTGGCTCGACACCTTCGACTTCGCGGGTGCCACCGCACGTGCCTACGATGCCGCCGCTAGGTCTCTCCGTGGCCCTAAGGCCAAGACCAATTTTTCATTACTACCCTTTTCAATCCCTAATACACCCAACCTAAACCCTAATAATGGTAATCATCTTCAGGACGATGATGGATTTCAACAATTTCATTCGAGACCCACCACGAGCAGCCTGAGTAGCACCTTGGAGTCCTTCAGTGGGCCAGATCGTTGAATCCGCCGCTGAAGTTCAGAATCTGGCAATAATAGAAGTTGCAGATGAGAGGGAGAGAGAAACAACAGAGATAACAATGGAAGGGACAGAGAAAGCAACGAAGGGGATTGAGGGAGATAGGAAGAAACAGCGTCGTAGAGCAATTAAAGAGATTTGCCAAAAAAATTGGCAGCTCCTATATTTGAGAGCAGATTTGAGATTTTCAAATTCTGAGAGCCCAAAATAAGTGCCTATTGGAGAGCTCACTTTTTATCCATCTCTCAAATTATGAGTTTGAGAGTCCAAAATAAAAGAGCATTGAAGTTGCTCGTTAGAACATAAGTAGTGATTTGGTTGCCAGGTAAAATAAAAAAAGAAGAAGAAGAATTTATAATATATAGATAAAAATAATATGAAAGAAATTGAAAAGGTCATGGGCTACCCGAGTCTGACTATATCCTTATTAATAAGGTTCAACCAACAATGCACAAGTCACATGCAAATTTTTTCAGTGACTCTTGCCTATATAAATCCTTATTTATTTATTTATTTTTAATTTTTATGTCGCCAACTGATGTAGGAGTTCGACACTTTGACTTAGATCATTTCGTCTCATGGTATCAATTATGCTAGAAAAAAAAAATATATTAAATATTGAAAATATTAATTTGCGTGCAAAGTTGGAGTCAAAGATTGAAAACTTTTTGGGACAATTTTAAAATACTTAGTTATAATATATAGATAAAAATAGTATGAAAGAAATTGAAAGGGTCATGGGCCACCGAGCCTGATTATGTCTTTATTAATAAGGTTCAACCAACAGTACATGTAGGGATGACAATGGAATGGAGTTGCGATGGAGTTGACTAAACCCTACTCCGCCCCATTAAAAAATTCATCATACCAACTTTATTCCAATTTTGAGACAGGTTTATAATTGGTATATCATTTCTATCTCTACTCCGATAACCAAAACACCGACTCTGCCCTGCATATTCCATTTAATTGGGATAAAGTTGAAGCTGTTGAATTAATTCCTAAACTTAGGATATAATACTAAGATCTTGAGTCATTGATTGATTCTTGAAGATTGAATCATGTGCACAATTGTGAAATTTTAGTAAGTAGTGATTCTAGTGAATATTTAGTCAAAATATATTAATGGACACTTAACTTAAATAAATACTTTATATATATATATATAAAATCGGGGTCGGGGTCGGGGTCGGGTGGGGGCATCACTAAATCCGCCCCCACCCCAAACCTGCTTCGGGTTTTCCATTCTTTTACCATATCCGCCCAAAACCCATTTATGGAGGTGACAAATCCGCCCCATTAGGAGGGGAGAGGAACGAAAACCCAGCGGGTTGGAGGAAATTGCCATCCCTAAGTATATGCACAAGTCACATGCAAATTTTTTTCTTAGGTGGAGTGACTCTTGCCCATATAAATTATTATTTTTTTTGTCGCCAATTGATGTGGGATTCGTTCGACATTTCGACTTAGATCATTTTGTCTCATAGAATCGGTTATGCCACGAAAGAAAAGAAAAATTTCTTTAAACTTATAGCAACCGAGTATACAATTCAAAAAAAAAAAAGAAAAAAAAAAAAAAATTACTTATGCTATGTTTGGTACGTAACATAGAATCGGCTTCTTACCTAACATAAAAAATTTCCTTCAATTTCATATTTAAGTTGCCAATTCAATAATTCTAAACGGAATATTAAAAGTTTTCTTCTTAATTGTCAGTCCAACATTTTTCAGACATGCGCAACAGCAGTTATGATGAGGCAGATAGTTGTGGTCCATCGTAAAATGACTAACCTATATATTGAACAAAGTTCAAGAAATCAAAATTCTGTGAAACAACTAGAATTGCTAAGCATTGTATGATCAAGGGCTATTCAAGGTTGAACTGTTGTGCTTCATCTTTCCTCTCTCCCAATGTGCAAAGTGGCACTAGTTGCTTAGTTGCAAGAGGTTATGCCATGCAGGTGGCAAGTGGGTGGTGACGAAGTGTGCATGTGCATGGCATGAGAAGGATGTAATTGTAGAATCTTCCGAAATTGTGTAAAGAGTCGGTGGTGTATTATAGAGAATGTTGAAAGGTTTTATAATATTGGAGAGATTGTATATTCTTATAGAGAGTAGAAATCTCTAAAAGTGTAAATAGTTTTGAAGACTTTTAAATATCTAAAATGTATGAAAAATTATAAAATATAGCTTGGAGGCTTTGTACAATAGGATGCTAATGGATTGGTGTTTAATATTATATAACTGTATTTATTGACAAAAATGGAAGAAATATGACAGAATATCCGATATATTTCTTTTTGTAGTCTGTATGGGTAATGTTGTCTGTATTGGTAATGCACTATTGTATTCCTTATGTTTGAATAAATATAATTTTAAAACACCTTTTAAAAAATAATCTCTCTAATTTTACCAGTTAAAATTGTAGGAAAAAATCCTTAATTTTGTAATATCATTTATTCTAAAATATCATTTAACTAAAATGATTATTTTATCCCTCATTTATTACTCCCACCCATTCCACGTCCCACACTCCATTAATGCCTTGTTTGAACCCCTCAGGACATCCATACTAAAAACATTTCTATCTAGTACTTGTTGAGCATTGGTTGGTGATAACAAGTAGTGACCCACAAACATATTGTGGAGAGAGAAGAAGTGTCACAGTCAAAGCTCACTATGATTTTTGTGTTTAATGACTGGAGTGGCTATGACCTTGCTGAAAAACTTTGAGATTGAGAGTAGTGACCATTGATGGAACATATGATGTAATGAAGAGTAAATGGGTAAGCTTATTTTATTTTAATTTTTTTGTTAATGGATAAGCTTGTATATAATAAGATAAAGAATGTACAATGTGATCCCCAAAGAAGGGGATGATTACACCAAAAGAAAACAGCCAACAGTAGTTCACATACAAGATAAACAACTCTACAAATTACTCTAACTACAACGGTGCATATCAACCAGTAACTTTGACACAAACCAATTATCCTTCTCATCATGTGCCACACCTGTGATGCTCCCTTCATGCTAGTAACCAGCTGTGTCCACCTGCCGTGGTGCATGTTTGCCGGAAGAGGTTTTGCAGCTGTGTGTAGGAAGTGATTTGTCTCAGGTCAGATGAGTTTCTTAGCTTGATTGTTGCAAGTCTTGCTCTAACACAGCTACTGATTTGGCCTATGATGGTGTTAGCAGAGGTTGATTGATTGCGAAAAGCCCTAGCATTTCTCTCCATCCAGATGAAATATACAGCTGCAGCCCATAAAAGCTTGTGAAGAGAAAACTCAGATGAACTCCAATGGGTGGAACACCAAAGTACTAGTTGTGACCAGTTGCTAGGCATAATATAAAACCCTGCTACCTCTTGTATATACTGCCAGATGTGAGAAGAGTATTCACATTTAAAGAACAAATGATTTAAGGATTCCCAATCTGCCTTGCAAAGATAGCATCTGTTGTTAGTGTAGTGCTTGTGACGAACTGGCTTGGCATCAAGTGTATACAATCTACCCCTTACTGCTAGCCAAAGAATGAGACTGTGCTTGGGTATGTGGTGTTTGAACTATACCACTTTGTGCCAATGAAAGATTGGAGATGGTGGGCTGAATTAGGCAAGGGTGTGTGCCATTGAGTATATTTTGGTAGGACTAGGTAACCATTCAATGGAATCTTGATCAGTTGTGGGCTGAGGTAGCGCTCCTGAAGCTGTAAAAGGAATGTTTCAAGTTGAAAGAATTGATGTAGCTGAATTGTGTTTGGATTCACCCATTGGTGGTTGAAATTAGGCTATCAACTAAGAGAGTGTTGTCCAGTTGAAGAATTTCCACACCATTGAGCCCCAATTGCTGCTCTATAGGACCATTTGGCAGTCACTAATCTATCCATAGGCTAGTTTCTTTCCCTGCCCCCACCCTATGCTTCAGTAGTTCCCTTGCCATTGATCGAATTCCAAGTAGCTTCTTCCAAAATCCTGAACTCAATCCAGTTGCTTTCACTGTCCAAAAACTTCTGTTTTTAATCAGGTATCTATAACACCAATCCACCCAAAGACTTTCCTTCTTAGAACAAAGTTTCCAAATATGCTTCAAACTTGCAATCCTATTTGTCAGTTCTAGATCATTGAAACCTAGACCTCCATTTGCTCTTGGTCTGCAAATTGCTTGCCAAGCAACTTTAGCCCCTTTGTTCTTCAGATCAACTCCAGTCCAGAGGAAGTTTCTAAGCACTTGATTGATGTGTTCTAGAACCTCCTTTGGTAAGATAAACACCTGTGACCAAAAGGCTTGTATGGAATAAAGAACAGATTTGATCAGTACTGCTTTACCAGCATAGGATAGAAATCTTGATGTAACTCTTGCTCTTGCATTAATCATAGGATAGAAATCTTGATGTAACTCTTGCTCTTGCATTAATCTTCTCAACTAGGGTTTGGCAGTCCCTTGCTCTAATTGCTGTTGAGGATAATGGTAATTTTCGAAAGATCTTTCTATGATATTTATCCAAAGTTAAAGGGTTGTTAATGAAATTAAACCCTTACTTCTATGTGTACGTTTATCGCCTCTACTTTTAAATGTTTACCTTTATCCCAAGTTTTGCCCTGAGGAAGAATAAATTGATAAAGAACTCAATTCAGGTCTATTTTTAATTACAAATTTTTTACAAAAAAATAAAAATAAAAATAAAAGTCAATTAAATTTAATTTCATCACGTTCACTTGAAAAAAAAAAAAAAAAAGGGTTTACTTTTTAACGCCTCCTGTGGAATATTTTATTTTATTTTATTTTTTACAAGTTTTTCTCTCTTCTTCACTAAAAAAAAACAAAAAACGTATGACTGAATAATTTAATGTTCATTTTGACTTGATTAAATTTACTGTTCGGGTTGAATTATATACCTTTCACTTTATAAACAAGTGTGGTAATGTTTTTGCTTAGTATTGTCATCAATACTAGTAGGTTATTTAGAAGAGCTAGGCTCATGCAATGGATTTCCATTCTTTAGCTTAATAAAGAACTACATTTTGAACAATAACATTTTTAGATTGTCGAGATTAAGAGACGTATGTATAGGGTGTTGTGACGGGTCACACTCATATCTCTCAATTCATTGTCAATCCTTATTTGTTGTTAACTCCAATTCAAAGGCAAGTCGAAGCCGCTATGTGAACAAATGAAATGAAGAAGCGAGCGAAGCTTTCAAGAATGAAGTCAAGATCAGAAGATGGACTTGCAGTAGCTGCTGGTGTTAACGGGAGAGTCCAAATGCAACTGCACTAATTCATGTTTCCTAGTCAGTTGTCAACTATGACCAAATTTATAATTTTCCTTTGAACAAATCACAAATTTACCTTATTAATGGATCAATCAAACTAATTAACTAGATCACAGCACTACATATAAATAGACAAGTCACGTGTTGTATGTTAAATGTAGCATCAGTGCTTTCAAATGGTAACAATGAGGCCACAGAAAATTTATATTAATTTACCGACACACATGCCTAAGTCGTGAGTAGTTAGTTCCAATCTAATTTATGACATTCAGTTCGAGTTCTTAGACATTCACTTAATGAGCAATGAACTCATTCTATTTTATAGAATAAACTGAAATTGCCATAGAAATTAAACAATAATTATAATCATAATATAATTTTACTCGACAAGTAAGGGAAAAGCCACCATTAGCATTAACCTACTCTTCTATTTCAAACATATCTAGAATGAAGGGAATTGGATTTTGGAAGCACATTTGCCGTGGGGCAGCACATCACACTCAATTATGTGGGACCCAGAATTATCCACACACATATAAATCTGATAAAGCTGGCTGTTCCCTGACCCATCAACATTGCACTCTACCCAGGGAGTGTAGCCAGTTGCACCTTTAATGGCATCTTTTATGCTTTCCAAATTATAAAATTCTCCATCCGGATTGATTCCTATGTCATCACATTCAAGATTAGCAATATCTATCTATCTAATGCGATAAAAAGTAAGGATATAAAGTTTGACAGTTAGATAAATTCAAATGAATCACTTAAGTGAGGGCGTGTACTTCATCTATGATTCTTTTGAATCAGTTTGATTGTTGAACTCTAAATTTTATTTTAAGAATTGACAAATTTTAATTATTAAAAATTAGAATACATGTAGAACTAGATGTACCTGCATCTGTAAGGATTTGGAGGAGGTTAACTTGCTTCTTGAGGTTGAGAGTTGTTGCGAAGTAATCGTGTTGATCGAGGACAGATTCAGAGCAAGTTCCATGTTTGTCCCATTCATGACCCCAGAAGGTTAAGCCGTCGCTACTCGGACAAGCCAGAGTAGGCCAGTCCTCTTGCATTTTGTTGGTGAGGTCTGATATCTGTATAACAAAACTTAAATCTTGTATAAGAAACCAAGATGCGTGACAAATAAATTGGTCAAAATTAAAATATACTACAGCTGAAATCTGGAATGAGATCATGAGTATACTTTGAAAGTCATCAATCAGTATTGGTCCAACCAACTGGAGTTTAATTTTGTAAATAAAATAAATCTGTTAAGAGTATTGATCACTTGCTTAGCAGTTTCTTTCTCCACAATAAGTGGAGTAACTTTTGTAAAAATTGTAATTACTAAAAAAGAAGAAAAAAATACATATCAATCCTATTCAATAGTCTCCATACTTGGGTATGAAGAAATTTCACGGGAGAAATATATCATTTATGTATATATATACTATAAATACTAGTATATAATAGTTTTTACTAATTCAAAACTCACGATCTAATCGAACAAAAATTGTTAAAGCAGCTTCTTTTTATTTTTTTTTTCCTTAGTTGGTAATTGTTAAAATAGCTTTGTTTGCAATAGTCTAAATAAAAAATTAATAAAGAACCAATTAGAATTATCCGAATTTTTTACATGGTTATAACTGTTTTTTCTTTTAACTTATGTGTATATAATTTCTTTTTAATAATTTATTATTAAGTTATATTTATTAATAATTATCAATAAAATTGTAAGTATACATAGAATTTCCCATTGAGAGCGGACTAAAGGAATGGAATCAGCTTAGTTGATTCACTTCTTCAAGATAAGTATCCCCATAAAGCATCTTTAAAGCCTCACGGATGAGCAATGCTTCACCAACCTCCGTGCTTAGAACAGTCATTCCGTTGGTCTTTATGCCCAGAAGAGATGTTATTTCTTTTTGCATGACATTGATGGTCACAACTTTTTTTATTTATGGGCATAGCAGAGCATTTCATTTCAATGAACATTAGTACTTTACTCCCAAAAGAGGGAAACAAAAGCCTAAAGGGAGGCCACACTTTTTGGTCCCTCTTTTTAGAAGATTATTTTTTCTTTGATATAAGTAATTTAAAATTAGACTTGATGGAGTATTGGAGGAAACTGAACACTACATCTTTTCACTTTTTCCAGTTGATTTTACTAGGGTGGTTTCAACAAAAATATGATTTTAGGAATCTAAATAAGTAGATTCAACCTAAAGTTACCATAATTCATCATAATAAATAATTCATTATGTATGAATCTAAATTGGATTCAAATCAAAATGGAGTCTATTCCGAAGTATTATCATAATATATATAAATTCAATGACAGATAATATATTATAATATAATAAATATATATGTACATATTTTTAATCGAATCAGATTGCTTAATAGATTACCCAAGTTTAGACAAACAAATTAGTTTTGAGTGAACGTGCATAAAATACAATTGTTCTCTGTTTTTATAGTATATTATATAAAAAGATATAATGTAGGCACCTACCTTGGATTCATCAAAGGGGCTGTCGGGATCGCAGTTGGACGGGTAAGACCCATCTTTGTAATTGGGCCAAAGCCCATGAATACTGAAATCTGGGGCAGGCTTCCCAGATTTTGGGTAGCAACAACTCTGTTTTTTGTCACAGTATGATCCTGGCCACTGCACATATGGGTAGACAAAATAAATCTTTAAAGCAACCGAGTAATTCAATAATAAATATTTATTTTTATATATATATAATTGTCACACATTCATTAGACAATATGCACAATAAAAAATTAATTTCTCATAAAAATAGTTATATTAGATCATAAAATGACTAACCTGTTGAACAAAGTAGAAGAAATCAAAATCTTGTGAAACAACCAGAATTGCTAGACATTGTATGATCAAAAGAATGATCAAGATTGAACTTTTGTGGTTCATCTTTCTCCCTCTCCTTCTCTCGATGTGTGTAGGGTGATATTGCATTGGTGTTCAATATTTATGTAGCTGTATTTATGGGCAAAAATGGAAAGAATCTGACAAAATATGGGATACAATCAATGATTCAATCCACATTCAATCTATTAAATCTTATGCGTTTGTAACGGTCCATTTACCTTTTGAATTCCGTTTTGTATTACGCTCTCATACATATATATATGTATGGTTTTCTGTATACCTTTATACCATCCCTCCACCTTTTTACGTCATCCCAATTAAAAAATGTATATATTTTATCGCAGCTCTCCTCTTTTGTTTTTTTTGGAAAATAATGTACTAGTGAGACTGAATATTTCAGGCTTTTAGCATTTTTATTGATTATATATATATATAGATTAATTAATAGGAATTGATATATTAATAATATTTGTTTATATAATCATTGATTAGCCTCCAAGTTATTTTAAGTACACGTACACTACACGTTAGGTTCAGAAATTACACTTTTTATTAGGTTCAGTAAGTGGGACCAGTCAGGTTGCTAGAATGGCATGTAAAGTCAACCTTTTCATTCATACTTTGAAATTTAAACCAATCCACTGGTCTTAATTATTGTAATTAATACGCATTAATGAACATTTATGGTATTGGACCTGGTACAGAGAGACGGGGAGGGAGACTTGGTACATGGCCGCAATGTCTACTCGAGGGTTTCTATCGGTCATCTAATGAAAGAACATCTAGTTCAATAATATATAATTATCTCATAATATATTTATTCGAGTTAATGTTATTTGGAGGTGAACAAAGAACTAATGAAACTATTAAGATCTGGAATCGAAGCATTGGATTCGATTCTTAAAGGTTTCAGTTCCAAATATTTAAAATCGTTAAGTTCTGATTTCAATGTATAGAACCGACAATGTACTGATAGTTATATATATATATATATATATATATATATATATAATTATATATTTACTAATATATATGCCTATATTTATTGAAAAAATATATATATATATATGAAAGTTTTTAAAAAATATATATGGCCCCCTGGGAAACTTATTTTTACCAATTAAATTACTGATGGAGCAAGGTTTTGATGCATCTTCACCTACACAATCAAAACAATTTTATAAAAAATAAAATATTTACCGTGAGACTCATCAAAACCATTTGATTTACCCGTTTTTTTTGTTCGCTGTCTCTACTTCTCTGCTATGGAAGACTGAATCGCCGACTAAAAGATAACAACGATTCTGTGGGAGGCTTCTCATCGACACAAGTACACCTAATGCGGCACCTAATGCGGCAGTAGCCTTATATATTTTCCTTATATTTTTATTTTTATTTCTTCTTTTATGATTCTTCTATTCTTCAAATAAAAAAACTCTATCAGACTTGCCATAAGAAGAACATTCCAGTTTCCACACTGTCACACGGAATCACGGATACACATAAAAAAAACACTTTCGAAAAAAAATAAATAATAAACCCTATAATTTTTCTTTTCAAAAATTCCTTTCATAGTTCCTTTCCTTTTATTATATATTAAAGACTAAAGTTACTCTTTTTATTTTTTTTCCCTAATCCGACGCCTGACAATTGACACCCAAGTGCGAATCATGGCCGGTGCCCAGTGGGATATATACCACAATTTTTCTATGTCCCCCCATAAATATATCACAATAATTTAATAGTCTTTTTTTTCAAATATTTGTGTGATTAAATTACTTAAATTAGAATCTTAAATAAATAAGAGGAATACAAATTCTATTGATATGAATTATATGATGTAATTGTTGACTGAATTTTGTTCTGTAACTGACTAACTTCTTGTTATAAGTTTTTTTTTTTTTGGACAAATGACAATAAATGACTTGGAATTTTCTTTATCACATAAACCTTTAAACAATTCTATTTGTTAGTCTCATTGTCTCATATTAGATTAAATATTTGAATTCAGAATTTTAGAGATTTATTAACTTTGTCATATATGCAAATTTTTATTTTATTTTTAAAAAAATTAAGTACATTCTAATTGCTAGTTACAGTTAGCCACACAATGTGTTTTACTTGTCTCTAAGTTAGGTTTTGTATTATGATTTGCAGGTTATTGTGCTCATCAGCTCACTCTTTTTCTTTTCACATTCATTCCCATAGAACAATTGTAGGTTTCCTGCTCCAAAAGTGTAGGACTTTTTCAAGAAGGTACACCTTGCTGACTTGCTCTCTCTCTCTGTTTTTTTTTTTATTATTTATTTTGACTTCTTCATTATTCACTTTTTTTTTTTCTTTTTTTTATTTTTTATATATATATTTTTATTTTTTATGCACTTTAACGACTTGATAATAAGTGTATAACATATTGCGTAATTATGTTGCAAACTTTATTTATAATTAATTGGGGATTGGTAAAAAAATAATAATAAAATTTGTTAATTTAATTTCCAATATTAGGTAATTGTAATTTCTTGAGACGTAAAGTCTATTCAAATTAAATTTGTTTGTAAATAAGTTTATTTTTTGAAACAGATATGAATAAATTTCTTTCAAGAAATTTAGGATTGAAAGCCCCCATGCCCCCATAGAGAGAACTGATAAGAGTTCAAAGCAAAGACGTTCTGAAATCAACTTGGAGGATCTTCCTTCAGATCTTGGACTACGATCTCGAATCTTGGATTACAATCCTAATGACCGAGACCAAATTCGTAGAGCATATGTGCAAAAACGTCCTTGTCAACGTTGAAATCACACTTTCCCCTTTAGGAGTTTCGGCAAAAAGTCACGGTGTTTTAACACTGCTTGGTTTAATGAATTTTCTAATTGGCTAGAATATAGCATAGCCAAAGATGCCGCATTTTGTCTAAGCTACTACCTTTTGAAGCCAGAAATCGGAGAACAAGTAGGCGGTGACTCCTTTGTTTGTGAAGGGTTTTCAAATTGGAAGAAGAAAGAAAAATTCTAAATTCATGTTGGAGGCCCCGATAGTGCCCATAACTGAGCTTGGAGATCGTATCAAGATTTGATGAACCAAAAGAAACACATTCAAACAAGTTTTTCCAAACAGTCAGGCCAAGCTCGAAGTGTGTATTGAACTCGTTTGAATGCATCAATTGAATGTATCAGATATCTTTTACAACAAGGACTTGGATATCATAGCAATGATGAACTTGAGGATTCAAAGAATCAAGGGAATTTTCTCGAACTTCTGAAATTTCATGCCCATCACAATGAAAATGTTAGAGCCGTTGTATTGGAAAATGCTCCAGTAAATTTAAAATTAACGTCACTCGATATTCAAAAAGACATTATTAATGCCGCTACAACAGAGATCATAAATTTTATCATCAAAGATAGTGGAGATGCATTTTTCCCTATTTTAGTTGATGAATCTCGGGACGTATCGATAAAGGAGCAAATGGCTATTGTTTTACGTTATGTGAAGAATGAAAGTATCGTCGAGCGTTTTATTGGTATAATACATGTTATGGATACAACTGGTCTTTCACTTAAGACGGCTATTGATAATTTATTTTCTAGACATGAATTGAACATTTCTAGATTGCGTGGGCAAGGTTATGATGGGGCTAGCAATATGCAAGGCGAGTTTAACGATCTCAAAGCGCTTATTCTAAAAGAGAATGAATTTGCTTTTTATGTTCATTGTTTTACTCACCAACTTCAGTTGGCTCTTGTGGGTGTGGCAAAGAAACATTCACAGATTTCAACTCTATACACGTTACTTGGTAATGTAGTGAATGTAGTTAGAGGCTCATGTAAACATCGTGATATGCTTCGAGAGAAACAAGTTGCCGAAGTTATTGAGGGAATTAACAGAGGCAAGCTTTCAAGTGGGTGAGGTCTAAATCAGAGCATTTCCCTTATACGTCCTGGAGACACTCGTTGGGGTTCACATTATGATACTTTAACTAGCTTGATTACAATGTTTCCACCTGTAATTGGTGTTTTTGAGAATATCGAAGAGGATGGATTGAGTTCTGATCAAAGAGGTGAAGCAAATATTCTGCTTCAGTCAATGCAATGCTTTAGTTTTGTATTTGGTATCCATTTAATGAAAACGGTATTGGAAATTGTAAATGAATTATCAAAAGCACTATAAAGGAAAATCAAGATATTGTGAATGTCATGTCTTTAGTCAAAGTATGTAACCAATAATTGCAAATTATGAGGGAGGATGGATAGGATTCTTTACTTGATCAAGTTTCTTCTTTTTGTAAGAAACATAAGATTGATGTTCCTAACATGGATGATATGTTCATAGCTCAAGGACGATCACGCCGTAAAGCTCAAGAAATGACAAACTTACATCACTATCGTGTTGATTTGTTTTATTCTATTATAGACTTACAACTTCAAGAGCTAAATAGTCGTTTCTATGAGGCAAATACTGAGTTACTTTTTTGTGTGACATATCTATGTCCAGATGATACATTCATTGCTTTTGACAAGCAAAAATTAATTCGCCTTGCTAAATTTTTTCCAAAAGAATTTTTTACATGCACTTCAGCTCATAGATCTTGATTGTCAACTTGAGACTTATATTTTTTATGTACGCTCTGATGGTAGCTTTGAAAGGAATTCCTACTCTTGCAAAACGAATGGTTGAGACAAGAAGAGACAAGGTATATCCGTTCGTGTATTTGCTTGTGACATTGGGGTTGATCTTGCCAGTTGCAACTGCCACAGTAGAGAGGACATTTTTTGCTATGAATGTTGTGAAGAATGAATTGCGTAATCATATGGGAGATCAATTTATGAATGATAGCTTGGTTGTATATATAGAAAGACATATATTCAGTGGCATAGATAACGAAACTATCATGTATCGTTTTCAAAATATGAAAACTTGTCGAGGACAATTGTAATCATATTTAATAAAAAAATATTATCAATCGATATTTTGGTTTTTGTTTTGGTTCTTTTTATTTGAGATTATATCTGTGTGTACTGTGTGCAATATATATTTGCTATCTTAGTTGATATATATATACCCCCCCTCCCCCCGCGACTTAAAATCCTGGCTCCGTCCCTGTGTCTATTGATGCAATTTATGAGTTGTGATCCAAGGTATTGCTAAATAAATAAAAATAAAAACAAAAACAAAAACGGTTACCGAAATTGTGGGTTCCGATTCTAATTTTTAGGAATTGTTGAGAACGATTCTGGGCGCCGGTTTCGGTCATGCCAAGACCCGTACCATGTGCACTGTTTAGATGTTACATCCTCCAATAATCGAGGTTGCAAGACAATCAAATGGCGGACAGGTCATTGGATCATTGCTCCTAATCATTGTTGCTAATCTCGAATAAGATTTAATTTTTTGTTTTATATTTATTTTTATTTATTTAAAAGAGATTAGCAACAATGATGAGGAATAATGCAAAAATTTTGCCTCATAATTTTTTTGAGTTAAAGTTACCAAAGTAAACATCTAATATAGGATATAGGTAGTATATAAGTATGTAAAAAGAATATGACTAAAAATTATGACACAAAAATAAAAGGTGGTAGTGAGTCAAAGTTTTCGAAATGGACAATTAATATGGGACGGAAATAGTTATAAATAGAGGTTCAAAAATAATTGTTTTGTGGAGGTTGGATTAATCAAGACCTTACAACTATTTTGTGTGTAGGTAAGGGTGTTGGTTGAGATTATAGAAAACTTGAGATTGTAGGTAATTTAATCCAAGGTAGCATATATATATTTGGAAACACTTTGCTTTACGCAGCAAATTAACATCACTAGCTTCTAGTTTGTAGGAAAAGCAATAAAATTACTTCCTAAAATTGCTGAGGAAGATCATTTGTAATTCATAATCAGCTTCGTAATGAAGATTTCTTGCTACAATTTTTTTTTCTTTAAGAGTTCAAGTAAATGTGCACACAATTCAAAAAAAAAATGAGTTATTGAAACAATGCCAAACCGTTACACTAATCTGACAACTAACGATGAATATCAAAGCTCTCCATGTTCTTCATGCGATCGGGATGGTCCAAAGGAAGGGAATTCGATTTTGGAACCGCATAATCTACCGCGTGGTAACACCGGACATTTGATGAAGTTTGAGGCGGAAGTGTCCACACAGAGGTAAACCTGGTAGAGCTGGCTGTTGCCGGATGGATCAACATTGCACTGGACATAAGCACTGTTGCCAACACCTTCTTCAATGGCTTCTTTGATGCTCGCTAAGCTATAAAATTTTCCATCTCCGGGTCGAATTCCTGTAACACACACATATATACATAGATGTATTATGTAGATTGCTTAGTATAGTTGGAACCATCGTAGAATTTCCATTTAGTTCAATTCATGTGTGTGTAAAGCACATCAATTCCACAGCTAATTAAGTACGTGTTGCATAAAACTGCAAGAGAAAGCATTGGGTACCCTGAAGTATATATAGACCTATCAATGAATTATATTTTGATCCCAATCCGATTTGAATTCGAGTTTATAATTAGAATGTAGATTGCAACATTCAATCTGATAATCGGTTAGCAATTCGAATATGATATTCGTTAGTTAAACCCACTTTAATATATAATATTAAAACATTTTTATCATTATTCTTGTTCATTGTTGCTAATCTCTTTTAACATTAATATATATTTTTTAAAACAAAAAATTAGATATTTTTCAGATCGGTCATTGGATTTGATATTTGTTAACAACAAATTGGATATGAATTCAAGTATTAATAATTGATTGGGTTATTGGATTAGATCGGATCAACCCTGATCCGAGCCGAATTCAATCCATTTATAAGCCTATCGAGAATGTATTTCCTTTAATAAAGAGAAATGAGAAGTTTTCATTCACTGAGAACATGCTTGGTTCTTTTCAAGAAATCAATATGAAAATAATAAATACAATTCTCTAAAATCTTACTTTTTTTTAACTCTAAGGATTTGACATAAGTGGATAAGTTACTTGGTCCTCGTACCTTGTGAAGCATCAGGTGTAAGGTTGGACTCCTCTTGATGCAAACAATTCATTGAACTAGAGTGTGTGAGTATCAACAAAAAATAAAATAAAATAAATAAATAAATAAATCTGCCATTTTTAACTCTGTTTTTTATAACAGTTTTTAGAAAACTCTCAATCAATTAGAACGTTGAAGGTTCAAATTTCAAAGGTAATTATGAAGGTTAATGTGGGAATTGTGAGTTGGGTGTGTGAATAAGTGACCTACCAAAAAAAATAAAGACTCAACCAAACAAACATTTTACACTGCTTCAAATTTTTTGTTTTAAAGAAATAGTTGTAAATATTGTTACAAATTTGAATGAAGTAGAACTGCGAAGTTGGGCTTACCTGCAGACTTGAGGACTTGGAGGAGGTTTGCTTTCTTCTTGAGGTCAAGAGCTTTTTGGAAGTATGCATGCTGGTCAAGCATGGACTCTGAACAAGTCCCATGTTTATTCCATTCATGTCCCCAGAACTTCAACCCATCACCACTGGGGCAGGCCAGCGTCGGCCAGTCCTCTTCCATTGTTCTGATCAGATCCGATACCTATACATATAACGATGAACATAAACTCAAATCATTCACATAATATATATATTGGATAACCAGGTTGTTTGGGGCTTTACCAGACTACTAAGCCAAGGGATCTGTGCAAGGCGTCGCCTCGCACTAAACAGATCGGATAAAACTCAAATTATGTCCGCAAACTAACCCTTAACGAATTGTTTTTACCGAGAAATCGGAATCATGCACATATTGCATATATGTAAAATCATTTTATATAGTCGAATACCATCCATGTACATTTTTCACATACATACATACGCATATATATAATCATATATATGCCTGTGCATACCTCCGATCTGTCAAAAGTGCTATCCGGATCACAGTTCTGCGGGTACGAGCCGTCGTTGTAGTTAGGCCAAAGACCATGAATGCTGAAATCTTCCGCAGGCTTTCCAGTCTTTGGGTAGCAGCAACTTTGCTTTGTGTCACAGTATGATCCTGGCCACTGCATGCAAATTGTAATAGAGAAAATAGTGCATTAAATAATGATTTGAAGAAGTTCCAAATAAAATAAATAAAAAATACAAATAATTTCATTCAAAAACAGACTCACTGACCTGCTGAACAAAGTAGAAGAAATCAAAATCCTGTGAAACACAGAGAATTGCTAGACATTGTATTAGCAGAAGCTTGAACAAAATTGAACAGTTTGTTTTCATGACTCTCTCTCTCTCTCTCTCTAGCTCTTTTCTTTTGGGTTGAAGAATATTATAACTACAGCACTCCTAGCTCAAGTTGTAAATGGGCTATATTTATAACCAAAGATGGAAGTTTTTGGACCGACTATCCAACTGAGTATATCCTTATACAGCCTCGCATATCGTGTTTATCTATTACATGGTTTGCGTATGTGACGGAAGCTATAGCTAGTACACATATATATTATATCACACATTATGTATCTTAATAATATATATGTTTGGTGATCAGTCCTTTTTTATTTATTTCTATCTACTATTATGTCTGCATCATTTAAAGCCATACTGGGTAAATTAATTCGAGTTTGAAACGGCCCAACTTATGACCTAATTTTTCAATTTAATCTATCTTAGACTAATGGAATATGAGAGACTAGCTATATATATATATATATATATATATATTGGATCAGATCGGATCAACATCGAGTTAAAAAAATGTTTACGGAAAAAAAATTATTAGATAGTTCTCAACCATAAGCCACTCGAGAGTAAGCAAAACTCAAAAAAATCTCAATTCAAATTATTTTCCCTTTATTCCATTATATTCCGTAACTATTAATGAATTAAACTAAGGTTTGAATAGTGTAAGGTATATACGGTCACTTATTAAAAATTAATATCAAATGTTAGGTCTGTTTTTGTCTGTTTTCATCTTCTCATTGGCGCTGGATAATGCATTTCCTTTAATCAATTTAATTTTCTGTTCTTTTTCTAAAATTAATTAAAAAAGAATAAAAAAATCATGTCCTTTCTTGGCAACTTAATTCCATTATACATATATTTTTCCTTTTAATATACTTTCATGTTTAGAAAGAAGTGAAAAGAAAGACAGAATAAAAAACTCAATGTCACTTGTTAATTATTAAAAAATTATGTGTTTGTTGATGTTTGTAATTTAATTAATAATGATGCATTAGAAGTTTTCAAACTATTATATATTTTTCTTGAATGAAGAAATTTTCAATATTTAGGTTCAATATTTAAAAGTCTTTTTTCTTTTTAAAATTTTTCTTACACCAATAGCTAATGTGAAATGTGAGTTGAGGTAGATGAGCTTATTATGCCTGTATATATAAATGGTACCAAACAGTTAGGTGGGGTTGTCACCGAAAGTTTTGAAGTAACATTGACGTGCAAGTCAAACTGTTTAATGACATATAAATGGCTAAATGCTAGCTCTAGTGGATGTGAGTTGGGGTGTGGAATCGAATTATATATATATATATAAACACACACACTACAGTATCATATTATGAACATTTTTTGAATTTGCATGTCAATATAATGGAATGGTATGGTTAGATTGAGGAAATTTTTCTATTTTTCGTGTTTCATAGAATCCTTAAGGTAAAAGCCCTCCCTTTTTACCATTATCAATGTTTAAAAAATTAAATATTAAAGCATGGATTAAGATTGATACCAATAGCAATAAAAAGGGTAAGACGACGGACATTAAAATTAGCAAATAATTGAAAATTAACCAAAAAAAAATTCAATTTTTTTTTTTTAGTTGGACTTACACACACATCTCTTTTGGCCGATACTACTAGGCTACTGGCCGTTAGTATCAATATGATTCCATCATAAATGATTTAGTTGCAAAAACCCGTTGGCTCCGCGTAGCCCATCATAAGAGTATTTTAGTGAGAGGTTAAATAAAAACTACACGGGTGAATAATATTAATATATATTTTTTATTGATAAGAAATACACACCTACATTGACTTACACTTTTTTTGTCCACATCCGGCTCGAACCCCTCCACTCCAAGAGGGTGGAAATGTTATATCATTAGGCCATATGCCCCTTGGTTGTTGGAATCACGATGCTTTCTTGTGTCATTTTTATTCTGCCAGCTTTGTCCTGTCCCTAATACTTTTATTTTACAATTTCAACCCAACAACTTTAAATTGTTAATGCAACAACTATGTAAAATACGTAAAATTCTCAATTTAATTTTATAGTGTTATAACGTTACATAATATGAGTGTTATATTTTCATTTAAATGTATTGCGTCACTCTTACGTAGTTGTTACATGGGTTTTGTCTTTTGTGATGTAGTTGTATTACACTACTACGCTACGCAGTATGCACATAAGGAATCCATGTTCTATTTGTTCCTTAACGCGTAATTCAGTTGTTGTGAGACTCCTTAATTCATGAGTATATATATATAGAAGTAATATATATATATATATAATACTTCTATTGCTTGCACTTCCTAGAAAACTTGTACCAAAATCAAAGACAGTTCCATTCCTTTTTCCTCATGAAAGAGCTCGTATGTAAATGGATTGATGGGTTCTTTAAGCATGAAAATGACGCCTTTTGAATAGAGAGAGAAAGCACAGATATTTGAAACTCAAAACATGCCTACGTAGATTACAAGGAAACAAACAAACAAAAACGTAATTGCTTTATTAATTCAGTTCGAATCTTTTTATGAAAGCGTTCGAAATTACAATATTGCCCGAAAAAGCAAGAAAAAAAAGACTTGGTTGAGTATGAAAGATATTGATATGCAGAACATGTGACATTAAATTATCTTAAATTGTTAAAAGCGAGTAGAAAAGCATTAAGTAGAGTGTGTTTGGATTTGAGGGATCGAGGTGAAAGGAAAGTAGATGAGAAGGCAGGGGAGGATTTCTTGTGTTTGGTTTAACAAATTAAGATGAGATAAAGGAAATGACAGGGATGAAAAAGGATGACTTTTATTAACCATTTGAGCATTACCTTTGTTATTATGGAGGAAGAAATGGATGAAAAAAAATCTCTAGCCAAATCAGTCAGCTCGATTATGCAAACTTCAATCCAACGGTTTAGATTTAGCCACATCAATATCTTGTTGAACTCTACGTCACTGAATTTGTAAGCATCAAATTTAATAAGAAGACGTGCAAAGTCCAGAAAAGATATTTAGTTGGAGAGGATCTTTATCAAAGATATTTGCCCTTATTATTATTATTTTCTTTATGTAAAGCTCTCCTCAATTTTCACTGTTTTGCACGCTCTATAGGTCGTGCAACTAATAATCCCCTCAACTATTTGAAAGTTGCAACTTATTCAAGCCTTTAAAGTGTTGTTAATTAACATATATCAAATACACCATTTTACTCTTCAAAAAATGAAAAATAAAAAGAACATTGGTTTTAATATGACAAAAAAATTCGAGATATTATACGAAATATGGAAAACCATTTATGGTTCGATTCATGGATCTAAAAATGATCCATAGTTATTTTTGATGAATAAAGAAGTGTAGTATATGAAGATTTCAGGTCCAAAATTGTCAATTATTAGTCACTATCTGCAAATGGGAGGGGGGTATCTGCATTTTTTTTTAATAGTATAAGAGGTTTTGTATAAAAACTAAAGTTTAGGGAAGTTTTTTTTACAAAATCATGAAAGTTGAGGGGATTTTTTTTTTTTTTTACCCTATTATTATTATTATTAATTTTTTTAACAAGTGAATTCCTATTTTATCTTCTTTTTCTCTTTTGTTAATTATTTTCCCTCCACATTCCCTTTGTTACCAAAATCTGATCTATAAGCCCTGTTTTTTATTCTCCTTCCCTTAAATACTCTTTTTGTTCATTATTGGAAATCATTGCTGCTTGTTTACTACTAGATTAGATCATTGCCAACTCTTAACCATGCCATTTGTACTTTGTACATGAAATTGCAATCAGCTTTTATATATGTAAAGAATATTTTCTATAAAATTAAGGACATTTAAACAACACAAACTGAAATGGAACAATGGCTGTCCACTGAGTTGTATCGGGGCCAATTTGTATGTCCCATTTAAGCAGTGTTTGGAGTTGAGGACACAGACTATTCCCCAGGTAAGCTTCAAAGGAAAACATTGACAATACTTGGAATAAGTTGGCAGAAAAACAGAGCACAGGTTGGCTAGTGGGGCTAGGTCACTTGGCCTCATAAAGCATTAGGTTTTAGGTTCGACTCGCACTGAGTACAAACAATTTGATTTTTTTAGTACACACTAATTTACCCTGTTCTTAGAATTTGAATTTTTTTATTTTTCTTTTTCGGCCTTGTGGCTAAAAATCAAGCGTAGTGCATGTTATCGGTCTTAACCTCATGTTCAAGCAAAAAACATGTGCAAGTTTCTGATTTTATTATATATTGGCAGTCTATAGTGAACTGTCATAATTCAAGAAGTTGGTCAGATATGGTTTACAATTTTTTTTACAGAAGTATATGTACCTACTACAGAAACAAAAACTCCCATGACCAGAATTGCCACAATAAGCATCATCTCTGATCCGAAACTCAGAGAACCTTTCGTGATCTTCAGGTAGCAAAGGCAGGGGAACAAAATCGCGCCACTAACGCTCAGAAATGCTCCAATAAACGCCATCACATAGGCAAAAAAGGGAACGGCTAGCGCCACAATAACAGTGCTGATCAACAGAACTGTTCTGATGAGGAGACTGATGGATCTGCTGTTTTTGAAAGGAAATGTGGCCTCAAGAGCTGTGGCAATTGGAGTTACAATTATGGCATATTTGGTGATGGGGTTGATTAATGTGGTGTATATTGCTATTTTTGAACTTATGCTTCTTGTAGGGAGATTTAGTGTCACTTGAGACATCAAATTTTCTCCATACATTAGGTAGCCTATAATTGCCATTGATCCATAGCTGATGGTGCTCAGAACATAGCACACAAGTAGAACCTGCAATTAAAGTGAATACAATAAGAAAGTAATGATCATATCCAACGAAAATTCTTTATAATAATAGTACACTAATTGTTAGCCGTTCATGGAATTACTAAGAAGGGTAAAACGTACTTTAGGCCAGTTTTGCTTATGAAAAAACAATATTGACTTGTTTTTGTTTTGCGGCTCTTGGACCCGAAATTTTAGTCTATATCGTAACCCAAAATATAAAAGTATCAGGATTTAAATTATTATGAGAGAACGCTAAAAATCGAGATTGAGAGTGAAAGAGTCGAAGGATGTACTCGGATTAGGTTTTGAGAAACTTGTAAAATCCCTTCTTTTTTCATATAGTCAAAACTCCTCACCGATCTTCACTGTGAACGTAGTTATAAGCTGAACTAAGATAAATCTTTTCGTTTTGTGTCGTATGCGATTTTTGTTTTCCGTCAATCCTTGATTATTTTG